GGGCCGCGGACACAGTCGGGGAGCGCGGGGGCTCCCGGGCACCGGAGGTCTTGGATGCGCGGAAACGCGGCTTTGCCCTGGGCGCAGTGGGGCCGGGACTCCCCACGCCGCCGCCACCGCTGCCTCCAGCGCCCCAGAGCCAGGTATCTGGGGTTCCCGAGGTACAGTCTTTCCGTGAACCTGGCCTTCGTCCCCGCATCTTACTGTGCGCACCGCCTGCTCGCCCTACGCCGTCCGCGCTCCCTGCGCCCCCGGAGACCTCAGTACGCGCTGCGCCCCCCACGCGCCCGGGGGAAAGTTCCTACTCGTCAATTTCACACGTAATTTACAATAACCACCCGGATTCCTCCGCGTCGCCTAGGAAACGGCCAGGCGAAGCTACCGCCGCCTCCTCGGAGATCAAAGCCCTGCAGCAGACCCGGAGGCTCCTGGCTAACGCCCGGGAGCGGACGCGGGTGCACACCATTAGCGCAGCCTTCGAGGCGCTCCGGAAGCAGGTACCGTCTCCCAGCCGCACATCTTTACTGCGCCCGAGGACGATTGCCTGAGTGGGTGGGTGAGTGGCCGGGGGACTTTAGGGAGGATGAGGGTGTGTATGAAGGTCAAGTTTTCCCTGCCCGGTCAGCGCCGGCACCCAAACAGATTTGGGGCCTCCTGGGGTATTGACCCTTGACACAGAGTTGGTAGGGATCTTAGTTTGCAAAGTGGAGATGACGGTCCCCCCAAGGCATGCCGTGGTCCCTCCCGCCCCTCCCCTCGGGGTGACCCTGCCTGCGCGTCTGACTTCAGCTCTCATAGTTCACTTTTATGGCAGCGACTATTTGTCAGCCGGAGTCCCTTGAGCGCGGTGGAGAATGGAGAGGGGGAATGTGGGAATCTGTCTCTGGCAGGGAAGAGGGAAAGACCCCTTTGGGCATTTGGACCTTGGGAGGCCTCGAATGCTGCGGAGGGGCCTGAGGTTGCCGGAATATAAGGGCCCTGCATTCCTTCTTCAGCCTCGAGCTCCCAGTAGAGAGGTTGCTTCTGGGTTCTGCACCCCTTGCCCTGGCGTCCTTAGGGACCCGGGCTACAGGCCTGCGCCCCCTCGCCAGGGGCGCCTCAGGAATTGGCTGGTGAGAGCCTTTCCAGGAGATCCCTCTGCTGCTGCCTTTCACCTTGTGGTGAAGCAGGTGAGTCTGCTGAGGGAACTGTTTAGTTGAGGTACCTTCAGAGTCTAGTTCTGGGATGGGTCAGGGGCGTCTCAGTTTGGGGGTGGTGGGGGCTGCCCTCGCTGGACAGCGTCGCAGGTGGGGGAATGAGGAAGGATATTTACTTAAGAAGTATCCATGGTGGGGAGAGGCAGTTTTATAATTCCACTTTAGACCAGATTGAGATTGCCCTGGGGTTCTAGGCTTCTCATTTTCTTAGAGAATGGAGATCTAAGAGGGTAAGTGGCCCCTACCCCCAACCCACATAGGGCATGGGCAAGGGTGGGGGGTGGATGTGACTGGTTTGAGTAGTCAGGTTCTTCCTTGCTCAGCAGCAGACTTCCTGTGTGACTCCAGGAAAGTTACTCAACCTCTCTGGGCTTCAGCCAACAACAAAACAGGTCAGAAAACGTGACCTTCTTTTTTTTTTTTTTGATCACACCGTGCTCTTCCTCCTGCGTGTGAGGTAGGCAGTCGTGCCTCTGTCCATTCATGAGAAGGGAACTGAACTGCTTGAAGATAAAAGCCCCTATGACTTTTGAGCTAAAGTGTCTTGCTTGGTTTGGGTAAGATGTTTGCTCAGTGAGGTGGAGTGGAAGGGTTAAGACTACAGCCATGCTAGTTAGGACCCTGGGCAGGGGGCCCAGTGGAGCATTCAGTCTGCCATTGGGCAGTGGTCTGAGTCTGAATGCCTGGGGAGGACAGCAGCCTGTAGAGTGTCCTGCAGCCTACTCCCGCAGGATGGAAGGATGAAGGTCGGAGAGATGCCTGTCCACCTTGCAACTAGGGAGAACCTTCTCAGATTGGGGAGGCCACATGCCCAGAGCATCACAGCTGGTGAGTAGCGGGGCAGGGCTGGCACCTAGGACCTTTGACTGCCAGTTCAGGCCCTTTCTACCCCTCTGGCTGCTGCTTTCAGCACCAAAAAAATATTTCACAGATGGTAAGACTGAAGTTCAGAGCTATGTCAGGTGATTGAAGCCTTGTGGGTTTTGCACCACATACCTCCTTGGTGTGCCATTCACTAGACTCCAGTGTGCTGGTATCTCCTTGGCATTGTGCAGTCGTAGCCTGCATAGCTGTGTGCCACTGTCATTGCAGAGCCTGGCTTTGAATCAATGTTAGTGAGTTGCTCCAGTGCCCAGGCTCTTGCAGCTCTGATCCTCAGCCTGTTGAATGTCCTAGAGCTGTCCACCCTTAGCACAGGACAGCCAGGCAACTTCTGTTTTGTCCATCTCACTATCCTCTCAACCAGGAAGAGATCGTGGGGAGTGGGGTTGCTTAGCCACAGAGGCGCAGGTAGGGGGCAGGCCCTCTGTTCTGGGAGGGTGCATGGCAGCGGGGCCAGGGTGGTGGGTATGTGGGGCAGATGGTCAGGCTGAAGCACATGCCACCAGCCCAGCTGCATAGAGCCCTCCCCGCCACCTCATGTGAAGGCCATGTGTGCACAGCTGGGCCTGGCCCATGTGCAGGGCTGCTCTGGGGCCAGGTGGGAGGGGGTTGAAGTGGAAGCCTGGCCTTACTGGGTGGATGAGGGGAGGGGCCAGAGCTGTGGGCCTTGGGCTTCTGGCAGAACCTTCTGGCTCACAGACTGTGCTCATCCTTGGGGCATCTGGTGTGCGTGCAGATTTCCTCTCTCCCATGAAAGCACAAAGTCCCTCAGCCTTGATGGAGGAATGGCAGCCTTGCAGGCAGAGGCCTGAGGTGGCAGTGAGGCCCCCTCCTCTGCTGCCCCTGGGGTTTTCCAGGGAATCCTCACCAAGGGAGCTCAGGATGGCCCAGGAGGGGCTGTGGGGATGGTACCCCTACCCCCACACCTCCCTCAGTCTCAGACCCTTCTATCTAGCTCCCTCATGTCCACAGCTTAGGAGCCTCAATGCATTGGACCTGTGTTCGCATATCTGTCGTGCTACCTTCCCTTGTTATAGATGAGATACTTACAGAGAGGTTAATCAAGTGGCCAGAATTTGTACCCAGACCTGTCTGGCCCTGGAGTCATGTCTCTTAATTACTAAGACCTAGGTTCTCAAGGTCTAGTGTAGTCTCCTTGCTGTGTAGAAAGCTGGGATTTAAAAAAATCTATTTAAATAGAACTTGACAAGGATCTTTAGCAGCTCTGCATAGAATGGCTTTGTCTCAAGAAGTCTGTACTCACTGACACTGGAGATAAGAGAATAGTAATTTCAAATGGAATTAAATACTGAGTTGTGATTCGTGGACAGTGATGGAGCTCTGTGGTCCACGGGTCTCTGTGGACTTCCAGGAGGGCATCTTGGGCTGGGTCTGAAGGGCGGCTAGGAGCTGGCACCAAGGCTGGTGGGCAGAGGGCTTCCAGGCCTCTCTTACATTGGCTGGTAGATTCTTGGCTTTGTTTCTCTGTAGCATCTTCCTGCATTTGCCACAAATGCATCCCATTCAGGTAGCAGGTATTCTGATGCCCATTTAATTGGCAAGGTAACTGCAGTCCCCTGAGGTAATGCACCGATCTAAGGTAATGTAGATGGCCAGGGATAGAGCTGGGTCCTCAGACTCCTGTGTTGGTGCCCTATTCACGCTTTCCTGCATCCTGGAACCTGGAGAGCGTCTAGCTTGGGGTAGGTGGGATGGAATATTCTGAGGAGTATTTGAAACCTTGTAAAAATCCCCAAACTTGCTCTTCTGAAGCCTAAAAATCTTTGTGGGGTGAATATGAAGCAGGTTCCTTCTCTTTCCTAGAAGTTGGATAGTCCCTCAGGAGTTAGAGCTAGGTGACCCTGCTGCCTTCTTCGACCTGAGTCCTCTGACCAGGGTGAGCAGACGACTGCATGGGCTCTTCTATAGGCAGTGGGGTGGCTGGACATTGGACCTTGCTGTGGATGCTCAGAGAGGTAATACACAAAGGCTGGAGTCCCATGGGACCAGTCCAGAACTCTCCATCTGCAACTAAGAAAGGTGGCCTGCCCACCTCCTCGCCTTAGGCTGTAGACGCCCATCCAAACCCCAAGCAGTTGCTTCTGGCTAATTGGAAAGAACCCAACTAAGGTGGGAGTTCAAAACCTAAAAATTCTTCCACCAGCCGAGAGTCACAGGAAATTTTTACACCCCCACCATCAAATGCTCCATGAAGTAGAAGTGATGTTTTCTACTTCTTGGGATTGTTTAAAGATGAATGTAGGTATCATATTCAAAATACTCAGCCTTCTGTCTGGCTTAGTAGACCACAATAAACAGCAAGGGGTGGCCCGATCCCGGTCCTGCAGGGTGGATAGGGCGTGTTAGCCCCGCTCTCCAGATGAGGAGACCAAGGCTCAGGGATGAAAGGCACTTGCCCAAAGTCACACTGCTGGTAAGTGCCCAGGATTCAGACCAGCTCTTTCCTCCTGACCTTGGCCTCCTAGAACTAGAACTTGCTGCTGGATTCTCACTTTGCAGTGGATGCCCAGGCCCAGAGTGCCTCTAAGCTGGGCTCTTGGGGCCAAGGTGCTGCATCTTGGAGCTTGGGCACCAGGACGACCTGGAATTAGCCAGGTGGGATGAGGAGCACACTCCTCTACACACACAGGGGAGGGGGAGGAGGAGGAGGAAGAGTCGTTTGACTGAAAGTTGCCCCTGGTGTCCTATATGTGGCCACCTCTGGTAGTGGGAGCCCAGAGAGCCCTATAGCCATGTGCCTTGGGCACCAGACAAACAAGCTTCTTGGTTCCATCCAGATCTTAGCTGA